AAAAAATATATATATATATATATATATATATATATATATATATATATATATATATATATATATATATATATATATATAAATATAAATATAAATATAAAATTATGGGTTCACTTTTGAAATAGATGGATCACAAAGGAAAGCAATGGACCGTATGATTCCTGAGTGTATAAATAATTGTTTGGTTTTCGTGTCTCTGTTACTCACAAGACATGTGGAAATCATTGTAACCTTTCGTGCTTTCTCAAACCCTTCCACAAAAATATCTCCACGACTCCATTCCTCCCAAATATCCCCCCACAATCTTCCTTACCAACCATCCATTCAACCAACCCCGTTCGTGTTCGTAAATTTTAAAAAATATTAAATTGATACCAGTTGTCACAATCGCACTTTTGATGGCAGTGGACTTGTGATTCTGCAGCACTCACTTTTCAACGACAAGTGAGCTAAGCTAATTCATTCTTGCGTTGCCTACGGCCAAGTGACATATGTTCGAGCCTCTGAGAAGGTTTTAGAAAACTAAGGCAGAGAGAGATTTTCGAAAAAGACGTTAAATAAGCAAACAAAAGAGAAATAACAACTGCTCTATATAGGTTAGGTAGGGAGAAGTTGACAATAACCTATAAATATTTGATAATTTTTAAATTAAAAGTTAATTTTTTTTTTCTAACCCATAAAATAATTACACATTAAACAACACAACCAACTAGGCAACTACCAAACTTAATACATGTGGTTGCTTCAAAATACGTATTCATAACATTCATGCCAAGGGTTATTTATTTATTTATATATGTATATAAAATAAATAAATATAAATTTTAGAATGGAAATATTTAAAATAAATTGAAAGAAAATAATAATAACCACTCATGAATTCCCCAAAATAAAAGAAAAAGAAAATGATGAGGCTGTGAAAAACCTGCATGCCTTTATAGCCCTTGCCAACAATTACGGCTATATATATTGAAATTGGAAATTAATTTTTTAGGGTACAGCGGAGCTTTGATTGCACCACCAAATAAGTTCTATATTTCATTTATAATTCCCAATTCAATAAAAGCTAAGTCGGAGTGTGGGCATTACATTTTTGTTAATTTAATTCCAATCTTTTACCCTAATTAATGTTACGATATATGTGATTTTTTTTTTTTTTTTTTTTTTTTTTTTTTTTACAGCAAGTTTCATNTGATTTAATCTTCTACTCATGAACACGGTAAAAACCGAGTTATACATATAATTTGTGTTTTTGGCTCAATTAATAAAAAAAAATTAAGTATAAAAAATATTTATAAATTTTCAAAAATTTAAATAATATTTTTCAACTAAAAAAATGCTTTTACTAAACCATCCCTACCTTAAAACCCTTAAATTTTTTAGTATGTCTACAAAATACTCATAACATCCTTTACCTCTATAAAATAAAGTTTAAAATTTTTTTTTATCCTCTATCGACATTTCATATGGTATCTCAAAATTTTTTAATGTTACTCTTGAAAGTTTATGAATATTTTTTAAGTGTATTGGCAGTACCGATATTTAAAAAAAAAAAAAAAAAAAAAAAA